TTCAAGGACAAGGGACAAGGGGTCAGTAAGCCCCCTGAAATTGTGCATTTTTCCAAGGAGTAGGTCCACAGTGTTTATCACATTATTAAAGAAACAACCCCCTAACAATTTAATACAGGAGGACGAGAGATGCCTTCCATCATCTCTCTTTCTCTTTCTATCCCTCTTTACCATCTCTGCCTGGTCCTCCTGGAACCTCACACCCTCCTCCTGCCTTGCCCAGATCTTTTGTCTGTCTTCCAAACTAATTCCTTCTCAGCCCACAATCCCCCCGCCCCATATCACAGACATCAGCAGGATTGTAAGCATCACAGGGTGCCCCAGGAGTTATTCACGTGGAGGCACCCCCCCCAACAATGTCTACTTGTTGACTCCATCTCCCTCCTGGTATGTTTGGGGTGGAGGAGTGAGGGGAGGCATTAATTTTGTGATTCCTTCAGCAAATATTGAGTCAGCCTGGCTAGCATATGTGCTAGGCTGTAAAACACCAAAGATGGGCAGAACAAGCCCCCAGCCCTTTTGGGATACAAGTCTCAAAAGAGAGACCAAAATCAAATCAGCGCTGACTTTGAGCCCCTCCAGAGCAGACGTCTTAGGCCTTTTTCTCCTCACCTCTCCTTCCTGATACATAAAATATTTACCGAATAAGTGAAAAATATACACAAAGATATCTTTGCCAATTGCGGTAGAGGCTATGAAGAAGTATGGGGAGTTATGAGGACTTATAACGGGGAGGAAGAGAAAAAGAGAGGTCCTATAGAGACTTTGAGAGTCAGTGATGACTTCTATAAGAAAATGAGATTTGAACTATGATTTCCCCCCATGTTTTCTAAAATCAATACAATGAATGTGTATTCTATGTGTAATTTATTTAAAAAGGAAACTATATCACCATGATAGATGGAAAACCTGAATCAATTGTCAAAATAGGCAGAATTATCAAAATAAATGAAATGAATAAACAGTGTGGCGCTGTGGCAGCACCAGGCAGAAGTGAGCTGTGTTTACAAAGAAGAGGCACAGAGACGGGTTAGAGACACAGCTGGGCCTGGCGGTTCCTTGGGGTTTACAGAGGGACCAAAAAGGGAGTGAGGTCTTCATTCTGGAAGTCAGTGTGATCAGAGGATTCCCAATGACAGTGACTCATGAAAAGCCCAGGTGGGTAGATGGAAGTGCAGCAAATAAGAAGCCACTGGTGTCATTCAGTAGAGCTGCCTGTCCCTTAGGATCTGAGTGTGGCAGGTGTGGAAAGGTGGAAGTGACTGCCTCCACTGGGCCTCACAATAGGCCTGACTTTAGACCTAAGCTTTAAAGGATAAACCGGGAGAATTTCCAGAAAAAGGGAGCAGGGCAAGGAGTACTTTAGGCTGAGAAAGCAATGTGGGCATAGTATGTAAAAGGACCGCCAAGAAGAAATAGTTTCAAATTGTTCGGTGCAACTGAACATAATTAAAGGGTGGAAATTATGTGGAGGCAGCTTCTCACTCAGTACAAGGGATACTTTTCTAACAATGGCGTGGGCAGCCTTGATGACCTGCCACTGGTTATGCCAACAGAGGAGAGGCTGCATAGTAGCAACTCATTGGCCATGTGACAGAGGGGATTTGGCAATGAAGCCATAGGAAGCTAGGACCCATGGACAGGAAGAGGCTGGCCTCCAGGTCTAGGTTAAGAGTTCTTCAAATTCTTGGTGTTTCTGGCTGCTTCTGTCAGGAAGAATGAGGAGTGTTGACCTGCAGCCTCCTCATTCTGGTCTAGGCATTTCCAGAGAGGATTATCCCATTTCCTCCCACTTAAGTGTGGCAGGAGGATCAAATAGGTGGTTCCAGAAGCAGGCTCCCACCCCTGACCCAGAGAGATGAGCAATGGGTCTCCCTCCCCATGCCATATGAACCATAGTATGGCAGCTCACTGGAAGTGAAGCTTTGAGAACAGCCAACCCACCCCTGCTAGGGTGACCAACTCATTTCAGTTTACCCCAGACTGTTTCAGTTTAGCACTGAAAGTACCCCCTCCCAGGAAACCCCTCTGTCCCTGAGAAACCAGGAGGTTTGGTCGTCCTAATTGTGGCCCTATCCCTCTCCCCAGGACACACACCCACTCTATCCTAGAGTATTTTGTTGCTTAACTAACTCCATTTACCCTGCTTAAAAGAGTAGGGCAGGGGGCTCTCTTTGTGGCACTCAGCGACGTGCAATACCAGTTAACAGAGCAGCTGGTATGAGTGGGTTCCTGCCCCATGGACTGTGTATTCTGGGCAGCAAACCAGATAAATGTTGGACAACAACTTCACAAATAAGGAATTAGACCATTTCCAATTACTGTAGAACAAATTACCCCAAAATTTAGCAGCTTGAAACAATAAACATTTATTATCTCACACGGTTCCAAATGGGTCAGGAATTCAGAAGTGAGTGGTTAGCTGGACTGCTTCTGGCTTAGGGTCTCCCACAATGTCACAGTCAAGATGTCAACTTGGGATGTGAGGGCTTGACTGGAGCTGTGGGATCTGCTTCCAAGGCAAGGTACTTAACATACCTGGCAAGTTAGTGCTGGTTTTTGGCCAAGGGCCTCAGATTCTTGCCACATGGGGTTTTCCAGGCACTGCTTGGGTGTCTTCATGACATAGCAGCTGGCTTCCCCCAGAGTGAGAGATCTAAAGGAGAATAAGGTGGAAACTTCAAGAACTTTTATAACCTGGCCTTGGAAGTCATGCTGTCATTTCTGCATATCCTATTGGTTACACATATCAGCCCTGCTCAGTGTGGGATGGGGCTTTACAAGGGTGTGAATACCAACATGCAAGAGTCACGGGGGCCATCTTGGAGGCTGGCTACCACAATTAGGCTTTGCACTAGGCCCAACTTAATTATTGGGGTTGGACTTAGCTCTTCAAGTAGTCTTCTATGAGCGGGAATCTCCAGCACTATTGTCTTCTGTCCTAGGCTCTCTCCCTCTCTTTCCTCTTTGAGGTCCCTTCTGTTCTACCACTGAGTCTGTGACATCTTTTTTTCCCCCCAAACCTCTCTGCAGGGAACTGATTCATCTCTTCTCTCTCCCTTCTTTCCGAAAGCTGCTCTCATGGAATCTGCCTTCATAATTCAGTGCCAAGGCTTGTTGCCCAATTTGTGAAATGAAATGAGAGAAGCCAGGGACAAAGACAGATGGGCAGCACTGGGCAGAAAGGAGCAGGCAGGTTCATAAGTGTAAAATATGGACAAACCTGCCATCATCTATTCTCTGGGACAAATAGATCATCACTGAATAGGCTGCAGGAGAGCAAAGAGACAAATTACCCAGCCATGGCAGTGTCACCCGTTCCTTATAAATGGGCTTTTATGCTCAGGCCCAACTGCTCTCAGAATTGTATCCCCCAGCTCCTGTGGGACCCCAAACCGGAATGACAGGGACAAGAAAGCTTTTCTATCTCAGCTGGAGCATGAGCCACAGTGCCAAGTCCCAGCCTTTCTGTGGGATGCATCATATGCAGATATGAATTATATGACTTTGACACAGTGCCACATAAAAACATTAACAAAGTGCCATTCCCTGGATAAATTGGAAATCATGCAAATCCCAGAAAAAGAAATCATTTTAACTCTTTAGGTATCAAACAATTTCAAAGAGGTCGTGATGGAATGAATTACGAACTGTGTTTATGCTACTGCCACAAGGCGGCGCCACCATAGCCAGGAAACAAATGACCACACTGTTGTCATTATGGAGCAAATCACTGTTGTTAGTGTGCTTTGGACTCTAGCAATTGCTTTATGTGACTATTGAGCTGTTATTTTGCCATTCACTGTCATTATAAACCACTTAAAAAAGCTATAATAACAACATCATTCATAAATTCACGAAGTAGAGATGCTAGTGCTGAAAAACTTATCCCCTTTGGAGAGGATATTGGATGTGATAAAACACCTTAAAGAAGACTGAACCATCTCTGTGACAGGTGGTGCTGTTAATTCAGGAGAGTGCCAGTGAGTACAGATAATGCTGCAAAAATACAAAGCAGCATCAAAAGTGAAATTATGGCAAGATAGTCATAGATGTATGAGCTGTGTGAAATCGTTGCCTACTTTACATTCATTCCTTTGGGGGAAAAAAAGGTTTGGAATACAAACTTTTAAATCATGTGAAGTTTACAGAAGACATTCTTCCTGAAAAATGTGAATCTCCTGGACCTCCCCAGCCATCCTGGCATAAATATGGCTGCTGGAGTCCGCCCCTGGAAGGAGAGTGTTATGGGTTGAATTGTGTCCTGTGAAATAATAGAAAATATATATTTAGTCTCTGCCTCTGGCTCCTGGCACAAAGCTCTTAAAACTCTCGTAATTTCCTAAGTGATAAGAGCACTAGTAGCACTTTTTGTTGAAATATTTAATCTTTAACCCTGGTTCCTGACACGGTGCTCGATCATGTCTGTATGGTGAAGCTGCCATAAAAATCTCACCTGTAAGGGGTTCAGAGAACTTCCGGGTTGGTGAACACATTCATGTGCTGGGAAAGTGGTGCACCCCAACGCCACAGGGAGAAGCAGGAGCCCTTCTCGTACCCTTATAGACCTTGTTCTATGTATCTTTCTTCATCTGGCTGTACATTTGTATCTTTAATATATAATAAAGCCAAGTGTTTCCCTGAGTTCTGAAAGCCA